GAGAATGATAGACCACGTTCTAGGGGACGCTAAATGGCAACACGCCATGGCATACCTTGACGACATCGTCATCTTTTCTCGAACATTCGAGGAACACCTTCACCACTTGGAGGATGTCCTTGGGAGGTTGCGTGCCGCCGGGTTGACTTTGAAACCGAAGAAAGCTCAAGCAGCTGAGACTTGCATCTCACTATTAGGCTTTACCATTCAGAGCGGTCATGCTCTGCCTTGGAGGAGAAGGTACGTGCCATTGTGGAGTACCCGTCGCCGGCAAACATTCAGGGCCTAAGGCGCTTTTTCGGCATGGCGAACTACTATCGACAGTTCATCCCAAACTGTGCGGCCCTCCAAGCGCCCTTGACTTCACTCTTGAAAAAGTCAGCACGATGGAGCTGGGGGCCAGAACAAGAGCGAGCCTTCAAGGCGCTTTCTGAAGCTCTAGTGGCCACAGCCGAGTTAAAGCTGCCCGACCTGAACAGGGAGTTCATTTTCCAAGCGGTCGCGAGCGACCTGGGTCTCGGCACGGTACTGCTTCAGCAGCACGACGGCGTCCTCCGGCCAGTCGCCTTTGCGAGCCGGTCACTTAACGGCGCCGAGCGTAACTATAGCGTCACAGAAAGGGAATGTCTCGCTATAGTTTTTGCTCTCCGGAAGTTCGACTGCCATGTCGATGGCGTGCCATTCGTGGTGGAAACGGACCACATGGCACTCACCTGGCTTAAGCGCTTGCGCGAGCCCTTGGGCCGCCTCGCGCACTGGGCGTTGACCTTGAAGCGGTACAACTTTGTTGTGCGCTACCGGAAAGGGAGTTCGAACGTCGTGGCTGACGCTTTGTCGCGTTCCCCCGTTTTGGCGTCCGGCACTTGTGTCCGCCACTCCTGAGAGCAGTCGCATCAAGTAGACCCCAGGCCCTCTGGCTCCAAAGGGCGGAAAGGCGCGAACCCCGATGGCAAAGTGACTTTCGAGTAGACAGCCTCGGAAGAGGACGCACACCTGGTAGACCCTGTCACGTCCGCCGGTATCGTCTTTAGCAAAGAGGAGTTGCTCAAGGCACAGCAGGACAATCCGTTTTGTCAACACATCGTTGACGAGCTCAAAGAGCTGAGCTCCCAAGCGGAGCGTGGCGGTTAAGCCGCCGGGCACGAACAGACCGCTGGTATTGCTGTCGGCGCCGAGTGCCGTACGCAGGCTGGTATTGCTGCGGGCATGTTGGACTCGTACCTGCCTGATGCTGACGGCGTTATCCTGCGCTACGTCCCATCTGAAGAAGCTCCCCAGGAGTCTTTCAAGGTGGTGATACCTCGCAGTCTAAAAAAAGCCACCCTAGGTTATTTCCACGACTCGCGGTTGGCCGGACACTCGAGTGGCCTTAAGACTTTTCAAAAGCTGTGCCGCTCCGCTACCTGGCCTGGCATGAAGCGCGACGCCCTTCACTACGCCCGCTCATCCCGCGTGTGCCAATGCGTGAAGCCTCACTTGGGGCAAGCCTCCCGGGCCAATGCAGCCGATCGACAGCCAACAACCTTGGCAGGTCGCGGCCTGTGACATTATGGGACCTTGGCGCGTTCCAACTGCAAAAGCGCGAGCTGGTCAGAAGGCTCAATACCAGTTGCATCAAAATGTTCGTTACGATGTCGGTGATCTCGTCCTCAGGCGCAATTACGTCTTGAGTGACGCCGCCAAAGGCATCACGGTCTCCCTTTTGGCCAAGTGGTTGGGCCCATACCGAGTGCAGACCAAAGTGTCGCCTCTGGTATACAAGCTGGCTGACTCCCAAGGGAGACCAGTTGGCACTCCAGTTAACGTCTCTGACCTCAAACCTTTCGTTGTCCGCAGCAACGACTTCGGGGAGGGGGAGGCGGTCACCGAACTGCAGGGAAACCGGGATAAGGCTGTTTCCAAACCACGCCACCGGTACAACCTGCGAAAACGCACTTAGGCTGATTAAACGCACTTAGGCTGATTTTCGCCCCCGGCATGTAGTGGGACGTTATCCCTTCCATGTGAGGGAGCGGAGGTTTATAGCTGCTGTGCGAGAGCCCATCCAGCAGCAACAGTAACGGCTACCTGGCGAGCTTTCTCCCTGGGAACACCACTACACGCGCTGCGCGCGGAATATCCACGTGATTCCTAGCGCTCCTGGCTGCTCGAGAGAGAAAAGCCCTTTTCCCGGTGGCTCACTCTCTCACTGAGTATCTTCCGCGTAGTCGGCGGGAGAAGGGAAGCATGCGCCCTATTGGCTTACCCAACCTTCAATCCGACGGAGTAGGCTCTCTTTATTGGGCCAGCCTGTCGCGCCTCCGGGACGCACCTTCAGTTGTGTTTCGGCTTTTCACCGACACCCCAGCTTTCATGAGGTCCTCCTCGATGGCCCGTTCCTCCAAGAAGAAGCCCGGGAGACCAGCCGCGCGGTCGGTCGTTCCGCAGGCACTGGCCGCGTCCATGCCGCCTCTGTCGAATGCTCCCCCGGCCCCGGCTAAGAAGACACCGCCTCGTCGTGAAGTCGCTACAGGGACGTTCCAACAAGGCACTGAGGCCCCGGTCGCCTTTGTGTCGACTCGTCGCTGGTCCAAGCAACGCAAAGTCTGGGTGGGGCTAGACCCCGAGTCCGTCCCGCGTCTTTTCTGTGGACGCACCCTTTCGGACCTGCTCGACGCTTCCGGAGGTGCCTCGATGCCGCCTGTTCCTGAGGCCTCTTACTGCGACGCTTGTGGTGTCCTGCTGGTGCACGAGGCTATCCACCTCCGTTCGCGGGTTCACCGAGCGAAGTCTGGCGGTGCCCCTGCGGTCCTGTCCACTCAGGCAGTGCCGCCTGGCTCGAGCCTTCAACCTGCCCTGTCGACCGCCTCCGTTCAGGCGGTTGTGGCGGCGCTCGTCAAGGACTCTTCATTCAAGTCGGCCATCGCTGCTGTGGTGTCCGCCGCCCTCCCGTGGCCCCAGGTTCCTGCTGAGATGCCGCCGAACAAAGACACCAGGAACCCCAACGATCTCGTGGACGGCAGTGAGCTGGACCTCAGTTTTTTGGTGTCGGTGGATGCTTTTATTACGGCATCTTTAGGGCGGCCTCGGTCTTAGCAGGGGGGGGATGTGGGAATCGAGAGCGCCCCCTACCAGGCACCTCGTTCCCCAGCTGCCGCGCACGCGCCGACTGCGTAGCCCGGGCGCACATATTCACCGGCATTCGCCAAGAGGCCAGGGCGCCTCTTGGTCTGGGCGAGTCAAGCTTCGGCTCAGTCCCGTGCTGGCATGTCCGGGCATGCTACGCTGCACGGGCCTACGTCACAACGCAGCGCCATTTCCCTTAGGGCGTGCATGACATCCTCCTTTCCTACGAGCTATGTTGCGCCCAACGATTTGCTCGTTGCGGCAGATGCTCTCAGGCCTCCACGAGGGGTTGACGCGCTGCTTAGCAGGCAACTTCTCGTTCGTGCGTTCGACTTCGGCCCTTGTGCGGGAGTCGTCGCGCCCTAGGCAAGCGTACTTGCTCGGTCTTGCGGAGTTCCCTACACGGCCTGCAAGCCCGTGAGTGTTGCACTGTGCTGCATCTTGGGTTAAAAAACCCGTTCTTGTTTTCCTGCCTCGTGCGTGCTTTCTGCACCGTGTCAGAGAAAACAACAAACCCGGCCGCAGCGTCGACGCACGCAGCGGCAGTGGAGGACGTCGCATCCCTACAGGGTTGCGCATAGTAGGTAAGCCTAGTGCAAATTTATCTCCACACACACAATTGACAGATTATCAGCACCTAAAACTTCCATGGGAACCTCTGTCGAGTCAGTCTAAAGAACTTGAAGTTATCATCTCCAGATTCCGGTGCCATGCCCCCCCTTCATTAAATTTTTATTTACACAGAGCTCGTGTGACACTCTTACGCCCTTTGTCCGTTTTGCGAAGAATCGAAAACTGTTAAACATTATTTTATATCGTGTCGTAAGTACGCAGTAATTAAAAAAAGACTTCTAGCTATTTCGTTTGTGAAGCTAGGTTTAAGTTCAACCACAGAAAGTGTTGTTAATTTTGGTGCCTCCATTTTGGGAAATCGCCGTAGAGGTGTAGTATTGGATGTGGTGTGTAATTTCATTCAAGCCACTAAACGTATTTCAACATAATGCCCACTTTAGCAAATACTAAAAAAAAGAGCCAGGAAGTAATTTTTGAAATGTGAATAAATATGAGACATACATCCTGAATTAATCGTGTTAGAAAACTCAGCTGTCTTGTCGGCTCCTAAAATCAAGGTATAGTTATTATATCAGTAATTAATTTCTTGTTTTTTTCTGACTCTTTGAATCTTGAATCTTTTTTTTATGATGACTTCCTTCTTCTCCATCTTTTTTTTTTTGTAAGCAGTGGTGCAGTTACTGTCCTTAGGATGCTATGTTTTCTTGGCCAATCCCCCAGAGTGGGTATGTGCCATGGATTCCAGGCTACAAACAAGCAAAGCTACCCACGCTGTTAGTTGGCCCTTGCGGTATTAAAACCTGTGTCCAGTTGTCGCGACTCCTGCCTTCATCACACCCTCATTTAAATTGCAAAATTAAGAGGCTTGTGTACTGTGCGATGTCAGTGCACGTTAAAGAACACCAGGCAGTCGAAATTTCATAAACCCTTCACTATGTCGCTTCTCATAATCACTTCGTGGTTTTGGGATTTAACACCCCAGTTATTGTTAATATTATTATTATAATTATCATCATCATCTGTATGGAGGCAGGCAAATTGGTATAAGGTAGTGTAGGCAGACCCTTGAAGTGCAATCTAATTTGGATTAGGAAATTTTGTAGCACGCAGTGATGTGATAGCTGCGCCAATTGCGCCGAACTGCGCCGAAAGGCGAATCCTGCGCCAGCCTGCGCCAGCCTGGTCAAATATGAGCAATCTGCGCCGAGTCTGCGCCAGAAGTTGCCATTTGCACTGCCAGTTCTGAAACCGAAACTGGAGCCATTCGTGAACTGCCATGGTTGCTGGCAGGCTCGCCACGAGAGCAGCCTTGCTCGCTAGGAGGCGCTTGTGATAGTAGTGAGTCACTACTAGTGACGCAGAGACGCTCAACCGCTGAAGCCTCCATGGCCGCATGGCCGCATGCAACATCGGAAATGGCGGGTTGCCGTTCGAAAGCTTCGAAAGGTAAGCAAAGCGACTTGCGTTGTTCTATTTGTTTGTGAAGTTTCGGCTGGTGCCTCGCAGCAGTCTTGAACCCCCCCCCCCCCCCTTCCGAGACTCAGTTTATTCCGTGCAGTGCGCCTCGCAGCTACCGTGGTAGCGACCGTCCGTATCGCGGCCCGAAGAGACGGGCATCGTGATGCATGTACTGCTCGTGAAGCGCGTCAACGAAATTAGGCGGCGTGAATTCATGGCTGTTAAACTGAAATTTCTAAAATAGCGCATGCGCAGCAAGGTTCCGCGAAGCCCCCACAACAGCTTATCGCTATCAACTTTGCCTGCGTCGAAAGCGCGCGCAAATATCAGTGCCCGGCTGCGACTGCGATTTTGCCCCGCAGAGATAGTGCTTGCGGCCGTACTTAGGTTTTGCGTTTTGCGCTAAAAACCTTGGCCGATAATTGATATCTTATTACCCTACGTAACCCTTATTGTGCACGAAACTAACCTTATAATTTCTGCAAGCGAGCCGAGCCGATCGCACACGCATATGCATTTACAAGCTCCGTGGTAGCGGCGTCGCCGAGGAGCACGACCGAAGCGTGGAACGCTAAAATACGGAGCGCTAGTGTTGAGTCGTATGTGCTTCACGGACCTTACTGAGTTTATAACACTCCATTGACCGACGTGTTTGTATCGGCGTAGTGTGACAATGCGGTCTAGCAACTCGGCAGTTGGCCGATGGTTTTGTTGTTCCACCTTTTTCCACGTTGTATTTTTTATCCTATTAATAGATTTGTTAATAATAAATTGTGGGCTCATAATACAGTACCATCTTGCGATAACGCTACCCTCATGCTAGTAATGTACCTTGTTTATCATGCAGGTCGCAACACCAAGTTCAACAAGGATATCCTTGAGGCCACAGATCCAAATGGCGACGTCATCTCTGTTTGGTGTCGTCAGATGTCCGAAGACAGTGGCTTTTGCACAATGTGTAACCAAACTATCTCGTGCAAACAGCATGGGGTGTCAGCCATTATGAGACATGCAACCAACAAGAGGCACATTGAAGCTACTAGACAACATCGTGATGCTTCTGGCCTACTAAAAAGACAGTCAACCATCCAGTCATGCTTGGACTTCACACCAAAAATGGTGATCTCGCCATCGGACCTAGTAACACAAGCAGAGACCATTTTTGTTGTCGGAATGACACTCAAAGGGGTGCCATACTCATGGGCGGACACTGCCACAATGCTCTACCCTAAAATGTTTCCAGACTCGGAGGTTGCGAAAAAGTTCTCATGTAAAAGAAGTAAGGCTTCCTACATTGTGTCGGATGGCCTTGGCCCTCACTTTAAACAACTTGTAGTTGACGAGTTAAACAGACCAGATACTTTCTACAGCATCGCCATAGATGAGACGCCAATCCCGGAGCAGCGATGCCAACAGATGGATGTTGTAGTGCGATACTACTCGTCAGTTGCAAAAAGAGTTCTTGTAGAACATCTGGACTCGTGTCGACTGGGTTCATGCACTGCGGACATTCTTGTAGGGGAAGTTAAAAGGGCAATCCAGGACCTGCCACAAAATAATCTTATTTGTGTGTTTAGCGACGGACCCAACGTCATGAAGAGTTTTAAGGCAAAGATGAAGGAAGTGAACCCGCACATTTTGGATGTGGGTGACTGCTGCCTTCATAAGGTTCATAACTCCTTTGGGCGAGGCCTGGATGCCTTCGGATCAGATGTGGAAGCAGCCGTCGTCGACGCATACTACTTCCTGAAATCATCTGCGGTTCGCAGTTCTTCCCTGAAGGCACATCAAGAAGCTCCGGGGTTACCAGAGAATGTTTTCCTTCGGCATTTGAATTCGAGGTGGCTCACTCTTGGTCCAGCTGTGGGCCGCTTCATTGAGCAGTTTGACGCCATCAAAAACGTTGTGCTGTCTAGTTCATCATGCCGCTCAGGTGGAAAAATGCGGGCACGTTTGGCTGAAGCCTTTTCCGACAAGGCATTTTATGCTAAACTCTTGTTTGTAAATAATGCTTTTGACCTTTTTAAGGATTTTTTGACGTTGTTTCAAGGTACAGAGACGTTAGTGCATTGTCTATTTGGCGAAATGGTGGCGCTTGTCCACAAACTTTGTGGCCGTTTCATGAAAGCGGAATCGTACAACCCGAAAACTGGGAAGGATCTGCTACTCCTGCAGCCTAGTTCATCCGTGAACTGGAAGTCAAAGGTGGAAGTAGGAGAAGACACTGAAGCTGCCATGGCCAGCTGGGAGGCAGCTGAAAAAAGGGCATTTAGGTTGGGTGCGAGGAGTTTTTACATTAAATGCACCGAGTATCTGCTGTCACGGCTGCCACTAGACAACACTAATCTGGAAAGCCTTCGTTGCCTTCATCCCGACGCTCAAGGCAGAGAGACTTCCGCCTGTGATTTGAGGTTGCTCGCTGCTAGACTCCCACAAGTAATCGAGGCTAGCAAAATTTCAGCCCTCATGGACGAGTTTACCCTTTTTCAGCTCGAGCCAATAGAAACCTTTTCCCTGAGTGTGGATCAACACTGGCAGAAAGTTTTTGAGCTGAAAAAGGCTGACGGATCAGCAAAATACCCTCTGCTATGCAAGGTAATCAAGGCATTGCTGTGTATTCCGCACGGTAATGCAGACCTGGAACGGGGCTTCAGTGAGAACCGCCGCATGCTCCTCGAAAGGGCCCGCTTGACAATTCATAATGTTAACGGCATTCGGCAGATTCTTTCACATGCAAAACGGTTTGGTGGAGACCCAAGCAAGTTTGTGGTCACTCCTACTATTATCAAGGCTGTCCAGGGGTCTTCCAAAAGGTACAGAGAGCGAATTGCTGCAGAAGAGTCGGTAGCTAAGCGAAGGTGTACTGACTCAAGTAAATCATCTGAAAAGGATGATGCTGAACAGGCTGTACAAGCTGAAGTGGAAACAGCAAAAAAAATGATCTGCAATGCTGAGCTTCTGATTGGGCGGGGAGTGAAGTCCAAGGACTTTGGTGACATTGAAAGTGGGCATTCACTTCTAGCAGAAGGCAAAAGCAGGCTTGCATCAGCATTGGCAAAACTCACCTGTGCCAAGAAAAGGTCTGCAACTTAGTTACCTGAGGCAGCAAATTTTGTTTTGTAGGTGACTTTGCAGCATTGCTCTCGGGGATTTCTAAACTGGTGTTTAAGCTTCTCAAATGAGAGGGCGTGTGTAGGTTTTTCTTGGAATTTTTTATTGCCATGCATAATTTGTAGTTTGTGCTTCATATCTTTGTCATTTGTCCAGTGTGCTGTGGTTTGCGTATGCATAATTTGTAGTTTGGGCTTCATATCTTTGTCATTTGTCCAGTGTGCTCTGGTTTGCGTATGTAACATTAAATCAAGGTTTTATTCTTTGTGCAAATGGTCATCACTTGCCGTAGCACTATGCGATACCGTACGCGTACGCCTGCTCCAAAACCATGCTGACCTGCTCCAAAACATGATTTTAGCTGCTCCAGAAGCTGCTCCAAAGTGGCTTGGGCCAATCACATCACTGAGCACGAAACATACCCTGCAGGATCTCTGAAGCAGTATGTTAAAGTCTATAATTTCTTGATATTCGCACTATATGAGTTATTTAGGGGCGAAGCTCCGAAAGTTGTAGGTCTGCGCATTTCTTGTGTCTCGTTTTGGTACGTGACCGCCTCGTTCTATGACTCACTCAGTAGGTGCGGACAGACAGATAGAGGGGCGGGTCGACGGACGGGGGGGGGGACGGATGGATCGAAAGGAAGATGAAAGAACAGAGGATTCACGGTTTACCAATTAAACCCTTCGAAGCTTCGCCCTACTCATCATCATTCACTCCGTGGATATGCTGTGAAATTTGGTCTCAGAATTTTTGTTGAAGCTACTCTTATTACATTAGGCATTTTCCAGCCTCCACTGAGCCTACTTTGTTGGTTCTTGTGCACTTTTTCTAAAGGTAAATGACCGTGTTCTGTCTATCGCATGTTTACTGATTTTAAAGTTGATGAGCTTGCAGGTAAACTGTTATCCCTCTTGTAAAAGAATGTTGTCTGACTTACTTATTCATGGCACATTCATCCTGTCTCGCGGAACTGTCATTGCCATAGTGGATTCATGCAGTGGCACCTTTCTTCTTCAGGACGTAAGCCAGGAATTACGTGAACGCATAGAGTGGAGTCGGCAGCAGGCACTGGAGCGCCGCCGTTTGCGGCTAGCACAGCAAGCGCAGCTGTCCAGAGATATGGATACGGAGGTGGCAGACCTAATGTTGGCTCCAGAAGGCGTCGTAAAGAGTGATCAGAAAACTACTATGCCAGAAGACGTCCAATGTCGTCACCCTGAGGAGTGTAAAAACTGTGACACCACAACGGTGGATATCACATCTTCTCTTTCAACCATAGAGGAGCAGGCTGATTTTGAATGAAGAAACAGCACTGGAACGGGGTGGAAACGAGAAAGCACAAACACGGCGCTCACCAACAACCATGTTCTGTTGCTTTTGAACATTGATATATGCAGAAAAATACAACGAATAAACATATTGAATAATCGCTGAGGCATGCCGACTGACACATTCAAGATATACTTCATTTCTTTCACATGCATGTGTGTTGAAGCAAAGAGAATGGCTCAAGAACCTGAGTTATGCATGAGCAAACCATCGGTTGCCCTCCTAGATAAGGAGCTTCAATTTCTGGCAAATGGCGCATGCATGTGATTCATCTGATATTCTGCTTGTGCTTCGCATATATGAAGTCTGACGTTTTTTTAAATGCTACTTTCCTTTCTTTCATTCTTGTTTTTTCCTGGTTGTCATATATATATGCAATGCGGGATGAATAAACCTTCAGTTGATGGTCTGCACTTGTCCTTGTATTTTTCCCGTCCATGTTTTCCACCGCGTAGTACACTTAGATCCTGTAGTAAAGCCAGGTGGTTCTTTTTTCTATAAGTCAAACACAAATGTACAAGCACCATTTTATGACGTCTCTTGATGCATGGAAGGTTCTTTTTTTATTGCAGCTGGTTTGATTGCTAGTGACCAATTGTAGTCGGACACTCTCACGTCATCGGGATCATTTCGTTAATGTGCCACTCGTGGCGCACATCGTGTGGTACATTTCGCTAATTTCTCGTAAGTAGGGCACTGCTGTTAACAGTAATGTCGTTCTAGACGTCATATATTGAGCTTTCACTCTGACATGATTTGTTATTTGCCCTTTGTGTCTCTTCAAACACCAACAAAACTATCTTTCCCACTGTTATATCAACAGGTTTCTGCCGTGCAACACTTGGCGACAACTTTTCTTGACAGCACTGGGGAAGCTACAGAACTGAAGTGCATGCCTACTACCGTGTCAAAACATTGTATATACTTCAGTTTACTGATATTTTAGGGGCGAAGCTCCTTAGAGCGTGGGTCTGTACATTCCATGGGCTTCGTTGTTGGTGATTTACGTAGCCACTGGCGGCACATACCCGGTCTAGAGCGGGTATGGTACTTGTATGTGGAACTATACTCTGTTCCAGACGTTCCGTGCAGCACTGTGGAAACTACAGGCCTTCTCAATCAGTCAGGAGGGCGAGCACATATAAATTTATCCTTCCGTGCCTTGTGACGTGCTAGTAACGTGCGCTGCAGCCTTTCGTGCTAGTGACGTGCGCTGCAGCGAAAGCGGCAAGAGCGTCTCGGGACATTGTGCAACTGCACTGTGAGATGAGCTGTAATTGTGAAAGCGGTTAAATATTCTCCTTGGCACCGTAAAAGCACGCGTCTTCGAGATACTTGCACGCAGACATTTGACGGATAGGGTTCAGTGGCTCTTGTTTCGGTGAAAAGCGCCGCACTATCCAAATTGAATATGAAAGCACCACGCTTCATCAGATTTCATATACGCATGCCTATGGGCATGCGAAGTGCCGCTTGCAATCGATACAAAATGATTGCTCTATTTCCGGTGCCTCGCCGTGCTTATCGTGCCTTGCCATGCTTATTGTGCTCTGCTGCCCACTTGTACAGCGCACGCTCGCTGACGTTGGTGAACGCAGCTGTTCTCTTAATGAGAGAGCTCATGCTTGCATTTCTGCTGCTCTCCTTACGCAGTGTCCCGAACACATTTAGAGCCAACTGCTTCGCCTCTTGCCCTAAAAGCTTTACCGGGAACGATATCGCACAGGTGAACCAGGCGCCGCCATTTTGACAGGAGTGACCAAATCTGCCACAGCAGACTAATCACAACCCAAGACTGGGCGCTTCGCGGCGCTGTGGGGGCTCGGGCTATGCAGACTACTCATAAAAGTTTAGAGAGTGTTGTACCATTCCTTCGTACTTTATAAGCGAAAACATAACACATACGAGCCACAACAGCGTTATTTCTTTTGTCATTTACATGTTATAACACATACAAGCAAGAACTCTTTCTTCAGTATTATGGAGCCACAAAAATTGTTTTCTACAGAAAATTTGACAAAATCGTTATACAATTAAATCACAGCTACAGCACGCAGACAAGCGTTGAAGTAAAAATCCGAAGAAACCGCTTGCAAAAATCACGAGGACAAACAACGGGCTACGAATACAGGGCACTGCATCTCGCTTCGCAACAACATGCGTTCGAGGGTTGTGTAGCCTTGGTTCTGCTGTACAGAACTTCTGGAACAGAGTGTAGGTGGCGGTACTGGTAATGTACCACGTACGGCAGGAGGAGCTGATGGTATATGGGGTTGTGGAGACACATCTTTGGGACATGGAGCAACCACCCTGCAATCCGGACTACGTATGGGAATATTGCAATAGAACAGAAGGCAGCAAAAAGGGGGGTGGAATTGGTGCATTTATTCATAAGAGCATTGGTTGGCAAAGAGTTGAGCAGGGATGCATGGAATATTTATGGTTAAGAGGGAAAGTAGCTGGGCAGATGACACTCCTTTGTTTGGTGTACTTGTGGACGGGAGCAAAGGCCAGAGAGGAAAACCAGGCAATGGTGGAGTGTATATCAAAGGACGTTGAGGAATTAGGAGGAGAGTGCGAGATAATTATTCTAGGAGATATGAATGCGCCCATAGAAGGTATAGATGGGTATACTGACTTAACAGGCGAAATGATCATGGATATATGTGAAAGGCATGATTTGATCATTTGCAACAGTACCGAGAAGTGTGAAGGGCAAATAACATGGGAGGTAGGAAGGCTGCAGTCAACGATAGATTACGAACTGATGTCGCATAGGATTTATGATAAGCTCAGGGAAATGCGCATAGATGAAGGTGGCTCCAGAAGTCTGGGTAGTGATCACAAACGTATCAAGCTAAGTTTTGGAAGAGCAGCGAAAGTGGGAAGGAGACAAGATGAGCAACTACAGGAAAATTTTCATTTAGAAAGGCAAATAGAAATTGCTACTAAACCAATTGAGAAAGTAATCAATGAGGATAATACAACTGTGTGGACATACACAAATCTAATTAGACTGTTTGGGCTAGAGCTTGCTAAGGCATGTGATAAGTCACCCTGGAAAAGAAGACACAAGAGTTGGTGGTATGAGGAAGTTAAGAGAGCCATAGCAAAACGTCGGGAAGCCTTTAGGCAACAAAGACATGCTAAGCAACGGGGTGAACCGACAGATGATGTTGAAAGAAAATGGGAAATCTTTCTAAGCTCTAGAAGGGAAGCATCTCTCCTGATCAATGAAAAAATTAGAAGAAAGGGTGCTCAGTGGCTGGCTGAAGTACATAAAAAGGACAGAAAGGCAGCTGCGAACTTTTGGAACGATCTAAACTCCCTAAGAAATGAAACAAACCTAGAGCAGAGGTTTATAACTACAGCTGAAGGTGCTAGGCTAGAAGGGGACGAAGCTATTGAATATATAACAAGAGTGACAGAAAAATTTCAACAAAGAAGTGCCTTATGCACCACAATAAACAGGGATGGATCAAGTGGCACAATGGCTCCATTTTCACGAGAGTGGGAAAGGGCTGAAAAGAGGGTTCCCAGTAGTACATCAACAGGCCCAGATGGCACTCCAATTATGCTGATGAAGACATTGGGTCCGAAGTGTAAACAGACTTTGAGAGAGGCAGTGAGCAAAACAATAATCAATGGTGGCGTCCCTTATGGATGGAAACTTAGCAGGATGAGCATGATATATAAAAAAAGGGGGGACAAAGCTGACATAAACAACTACCGTCCTATAACAGTGACATCGGTGGTCTACAGGCTGGCAATGAAGGTTATAAAGGAAAGACTGCAGGCATGGATAGAGGATGAGGGGGTGCTGGGGGAACTGCAGAATGGATTTCGAAAACACAGGAGGTTGGAAGACAATCTGTTTTCACTGACGCAGGTTATCGAAATAGCAGAAAAGGAACACAGGCACCTGTGGCTAGCATTTTTGGATATCAAGGGAGCGTACGATAGCGTAGTTCAAGAGGACTTGTGGGGAATACTAGACACACTGGGCGTGCAAGATGGAGTCACTAATCTTTTAAAGGATATCTATAAATGTAACAAGGTAGTTATAAAGTGGGAAAAACAGGTATCCAAGCCCACAGAGGAAAAAACGGGGGCATAGGCAGGGGTGTCCTCAGTCACCCTTGTTATTCATTATGTACTTATAAGGATTAGAGGCCAAATTAGAGGGAAATGGACTTGGCTTCAACCTCCCTTTAGTCAAACAAGGAAAGCTCATTGACCAGGCACTACCAGCATTAATGTACACAGATGATATAGTGCTAATGGCCGACAACAAGGAAGATTTGCAGAGATTGATGGACATCTGCGGTAATGAGGGAGATAGGTTAGATTTTAGATTCAGTAAGGAAAAATCAGCAGTCATGGTCTTTAATGATAACGAAGGTAGTGAGCTTAGAATACAGGAGGTCACGCTAGAGATAACAGAGAAATACAAATATCTAGGCGTACGGATAATCAATGGGACCGAGTACTTAAGGGAACACGAAATATACGTGACGACTAAAGGTAACAGGAATGCAGCAGTGATGAAAGATAGGGCACTGTGGAATTACAATTGGTATGATGTCAGAGAAATATGGAAAGGGGTCGTGGTTCCTGGGCTGACGTTCGGCAATGCAGTCTTGTGCATGAGATCAGAAGTTCAAGCAAGATTAGAAATTAAGCAACGTGAAATAGGTAGGCTGCTTTAGGAGCTCACGGGAATACACCAAATCAGGGAGTACAAGGTGATATGGGATGGACATCATTTGAGGGCAGAGAAGCTAGCAGGAAGATAAAATTTGAGAAGCGATTGAGAGAAATGGGGGAGGAGCGTTGGGCTAGGAAGGTTTCCAGCTACTTGTACATAAAGAATGTCGATACAAAATGGAGGAAGCGAACCAGGAAATTGACTGGTAAATACTTAGAAAACAGCAGGTGGCCAAACCAAAAAGAACTATCGGTTAAGAAGAAAGTGAATGAAACGGAGACTGACATGTGGAGAATTGACATGATTAAGAAGTCCCCACTAGAGATCTATCGAACTTTCAAGCAGGAAATAGCCAAGGAAAGGATCTATGATAATACTCGGGGTAGTTCTCTACTGT